AATGTGACTTAGAGTCATCAATACTTTGGCAATGAGTTGAAAGGCAAAACCATGTTACTTCAGTTGCTATTGTCTTCAGTTGGTACCCACAGAATTAACTCTTCACCACTGATTAACAGGATTCTCTTAGTTGCCATTGTCCTATATAAACACTTTCAAGAAGGTGTCTACCACCACAACTCTCAGCAAAACTTAAACGTAGTCAAAACTTTCTCTGCTTTTGAGGTCTTTAGTAGTTCAATTTTTTCTTCCTTAGTCTATACTAAAGCCAAAATAATCATGGCTATTCGCATGCCTCGTATAATCAAGAAGTATTCCACAAATGGAGACGTTCCAAAAGGCCACTTTGCTGTGTACATCGGGGAGAAGCAGAAGAAGAGATTTGTGATCCCTATATCATTCTTGAGTCAACCGGAATTTCAATATATGCTTAGTCAAGCTGAGGAAGAATTTGGCTTCGATCATCCAATGGGCGGTGTCATAATTCCCTGCTCAGATGACATTTTCATTGGCATCACTTCTCAGTTTAGGATATAAACATGTTTTGAGAAGTTCCACACCATCACAGCTATCCACAAAACTAGAGAACTACTCGAAATTTCTCTTCATCCTTTACTCATCTTAAATAAAAGATCATGGCTATCCGTATGCCTCGTATTATCAAGAAGTCTTCTACAACTGGAGATGTTCCCAAGGGATATTTTGCTGTTTATGTTGGGGAGAAGCAGAAGAAGAGATTTGTGATTCCCATATCATTCTTAAGTCAACCGACATTTCAAGATTTGCTTGGTCAAGCTGAGGAAGAATTTGGCTTCGATCATCCAATGGGCGGTGTCATAATTCCCTGCTCAGATGACATTTTCATTGGCATCACTTCTCAGTTTAGGATATAAGAATATAATTGAGAATCATCTTTTCGTTTATAGGTCTCACAATTTTGTATACGAAAGCAGGAGATCTTTTTTGTACAGTTGATTAGTTATTAAAAGTTAAGTGATGAGGCTTAGCACAAAAAAAATGGTGCTTTTTTACTCAAAAAGACTCTAATTCAAAGAGTAGAGACTCTAATTCAAAGATTCTAAATGCACGTAAAACATAAAGCTTATAAGAACAATTCTAAAATAATTGAATAATAGCAGTTTATGAATATTCTAAAAGAAATTCTCTTCTTTTTCTTCTTATAAAAAAAATACTTCACTTTTATGCTTTGGGAGTTCCAACTATCCTGACATATTTCTGTCTTAGTCACCGTGTGATCGGCACGGGTTCGATCTCAACCTGATCGAATAGGCCCAATCCACGAGGTGCCACTCGCTTCATGGTTCTCAGCGCTCATG